CTTTGGAGCAGGAGGCACTCAGGGCATCACAGCTGTGTCTGAATTCGGGAGGATCTCGTGCTGTGCTGTCAGTGCAGGGTGGCAGTGTGACACCTAACCAGCTCCTCCTGCCCTCTGGCTTGGGTTTGGCCCTCACCTTGCCTACTTGGGACCAATCACCTTTTTGGGTTTGTGGTAGGTGTCGTTCTCCAGGCTCTGTCTCTCAAAAGCATGCCTCAGCTCCATGCAGACAGATCTCTCTGTGCTTCCTTGGCAGCCCCTTCTCACACAGCTTCCTAACAGGCTGATTAGGCACAGTGAACTTTTTCTTCATCTTGTTGTTGTTATGTAAATGTTCACACTTGGCAGCTCCAGACTGCTGGGATTTGTAGATATCCTCTACCTGTCTCTGTCTGAAAATGTTCTTCAAATCTTGAGTGCCCTTGGAGGAGAAAGACCTGGTGAGGATGAACCTCCTGCAAAGCAGGCATGCATGTAGTGATGAGAGTAGAAAACTGGAAACTATTTCCCTGGAGAAAAATGGAGCCTAGAAAATGGGTCTCATGTTATTCAGCCATCTCTTCCACCGCTTCTTTGGGATATCAGACAGAACTGGTCAGACAAGAAAATTATTTTCTTAGGAAACAGTAAGATATACTGTGCATCAGTATAAAATCAGTCATATTCCCACTCTGCTGGAGATTGCCAGTTGTTTTTGAAATGAAGTTATCTGCTTCTACGATTTTATTTCTGTTGAGTATACCATACTTTAGCATCAAGTTATCCTGAGTATCTACTGAAGTTTGATGCACTGTGGAAAATTAGGACAAACTATGATGGTTTTGGTCTGCTGTCTTCTGTACTCAAGCAGGATTGTTGTTTTGACCTTCCCAGTTAGAGTTTCTTACAGTGGTGACTTTACTGATTGTGCACAGCCATTTCTGTCCATCCATTGTGCATGAAGTGTCCTGCCTCAATGAGTGGACTGCATGTTTGTGTAAAATGCAGCAGTTTCATTTGTATAGGTCCTTAACTCTTACAAATTATGCTAACACAGCCATTCTTGCTTTCTAGTTAAGTAAATCAAAATCAAAAGCCATCCCAGAGAAATCCCAGTTCTTTTAAAAGGCATTTTCTCATCAGGTATGTTCTAAAGAAACCCAGCAGTAATGTCCATAAAATGACAGTGCTATGTTTGCAGAGCAATAATGTTAAAGGTACCTGGGTTAAATGTAGGTTTAGTTTACCTGCTGAACAGAGATACAAAAACCATACTGTGTAAAGGACTGATAAAGATAAATAGATACACTTTAGTTTGTGTATCAAACATGAGTAAGTTTTCTCCTTTTTTAAGGACCATCTTCTTAAGCATTCACATTTTAAGTTCTGCTACAAAAGAGATACATAGTCTGCACTTTCCTGTCTGTGTAGATACTCATTGCTTCAGACTGCAGATAGAATAATTTTCCAAATTGCAAGATTCTTTTTTTTTTTTTTTTTGGCTGGAAAACAGTAAATGAATATTAGATGAGTGTTTGTAATATCCTGTACTTAAGTTTTAAGCATCAGCTATTGTTCAGGGCTAGACAGCTCTGTAACGTAGCAGGAAAAGAGCTTAATGAAATCCAGTATTTGAAAGCAGGAGGTAGATGAATTCAGACTTGGAACAGCAGTGCCAAATTTTAGCATAGCTAACATTTGCAGTAATTTCTGTGGGTGTATGACTTTATTTATCACTTGAATTCTTGAATGTGAACCTTTATGTTTTCTAAAGGATAGGCTTTATTTTAGGCAGATTATGGAAATTACTGGTTGAATTTCACAGTTTTGTGAAAGGTGGGAAATAAGCCAAATGTCCCAGGCCTAGAATCCTGTAAGGTAGGTCAGATGTGTTGTTGTGCTCCTGTTAGCTATAAGGTATACTTCCACTGTGCATTAAGCATAAACACCTCCAGTCCACAAATGACCTGGAGAAATAAGTTTTATCTTTAGGGCAGAGGGAAGAGAAATTATTTCTTTGCAAGCTCTTGGTAAAGAAGGGATCTTTTAGTTGTTATTTTAATACAGTTAAGACTACTTTGCATTTTAAACTTCAGAGAGACCCTGTATGAGAAAAGTATTAAAGCCAACCCATTCACTGCTCTGCTGGACTGAAAAAAAATTTTGGATATTTTGTCTCCTACTGGGAACAAACTTTTGTTAGACCGGAGTAAGGTAGAAAATTGAGGTTTTGGTTTTATTCCTTATGTGTTTAGGTACCAGGTTTTCCCCCATAAGTACTGAATTGACTCTGGTGCTGATTTGATAAGAGTCAAATGTTTACACTGCGCCAAAGGCCACCAGGTGATGAAGACCTTTGGGGATGGGGTGGGTGAGCGTTTATCAAGTCACTGGTTGGGCTGTGTGCTGGTGCTGTCTGGAACAGGACGAGTGATCCTGCAGGGAGGGGAGCTGTGACCCTCTAGGACTGGTGGCAGGAAACCCACCCAGCCTGACCTTTCACTGCTCTCAGTTGTGGCGGCTGACTGCTGGGTGCTCCCAGGGCTGGAGTGTGCTTTTTCTCTGGGAGCTGTGCTTGAGTTGGCCTGTTTTGTTGCCCTGGAGACAGAAGAGTGTGGTATGCTTTCCCCCCGACCAGAAATAGTTTCCTGTACCTTGTGACCGGAGTGCTGTACTCCTCCTCTGGTCTCTGGCCAGGCTGTGTGGTGCTGGAGGGATGGAGTGTGGGGTGGTGACCTCTTGTCACAAGTTCTGGTGTGGCTGCTGCCCATGAACACTAGCTGCCCTGCCAGCCCCCCTCCCTCTGCACGATGGTGTAGGATTTCAGGGGAGCAATTGCTCTTGATTTACATCTCCCATGGCATTTTGATGGTTATGTCATTTTGTTTGAGCCTTGCTCCTGTCAGCTGTCTGTCCTGACTGTCAGGACTTGGGAGCTGAACAGCACGTGGTGAGCTCTTGCCTCTTCTTCCCCCTTTGCTCAGCTGTTTTTGCTGCCTGCTTCTCTGTGTCCTTGTACTTGGGAACAGATTCTCAGCAAGTATAGCTGTGCATGAGGGCAATGTGATCTGAATAGATGAAGGATCCCCTTCTGTAGGAGTTCCAAGTAGAGCTGGGAGGGAAAGTGGGGAATTTGCAAGGCCAAAGCATGCGAGCAGGCTGTAGATAGTTTATCTTAAACTGTTGTCCTGCTGTGAGAATCTATCCAGAGTGCAGAGTGTGCAACACTGTCTGTTACTTTGCTACTGTGTTTTGCAAAACTTCATTTGTGAGAGATGTTGCTAAAAGCAAAGCAAAGACACCCCCACCTCTCCCAGCCAATGCAGGTGAGAAAGTGCTTGCACTGCACCAAGGCCTCAGGAGCATGGAAGTTCTCCAGGCTTTCTTGCTGCCTGGTATTTTATTGGAGAGTGGTTCTGGCACAGAACTCTAAAATATATGCAACAACAACAATAATTTCCAGGACTGAGAAAGAAGAAGAGATGAAGGGAGTAATTTACCTTCCCCCATCCCTGAACAATAGCAGATGAGGATGTAAGCACGTCTCAGCCCTATAAGGTATTAATTGGGACATTTTCTATAATTCAGTAGTGGAAAAGAAGATGGGAATCATGCAGTGCCCTGAGCTTCTATTTCCAGCCTGGGAGAGAAAAGTGCTGAGATTTGGCTCAGCCTCTATCTTCTGCTTATGGGGAAGAGAACAATTGCCCAAATCCTCCTTTACAGAGAGAAGGGAAGATGATGCAGAGACCAAGGAGCTGAACAGGCAGTTTTCAGGCAGAGTAGTGCAGTGCAGCTTTGTTTAAGTGGGTCTCCATTGGGGTTCCTATAAATCAAAGGGTGCTGCATTCCTACCAGTGACTTGCTGAGTAGTCCAACCGGCCAAGGGTCCTACTTACTCCTGTGTGTCACAGGGATACAGAATCACACCTGTGTTGAAGATCCACTAGGGAAGAAATGTCAAGAGTGGGCAGGGACTGCTACTCTGCTACTTCCCTTTGCTATGTTCTTTAGATGGCTGGAATGGGAAGTCCAAGGACTGGACGTTCTTACTTGTCTTGTTCTGGGCATCTGCATGCGCAAAAGTTTAGATTTTAGCAGCTGCCAGGGCTGCCTAAAAGAGTTTGTCTCCCTCAGTTCCTTTCAGTCAATCTGTGCTTGTCCAGTGTGAGAATTTCATAGGAGAAGATGGGGTTGTTGTAGTGTAAATTCAGGAGTCAACCACTGCTGTACTGAAATGTCTCAGTGCTTCTTGGCTGAGAAAGGCAGAGTTGCTCTAAGTCCTTCTTCTTTCCTTGAACTCACACATGGGAACAGTCTCCTTGATATTTTTCTTTAATCCAGATGAATGTCATGCTGGAACTGATGTTGCCTTTGGGCTGGAATAAGCATACTTAGCATTTGAGCAGAACTTCTTGCCTGGAGATTTTTAAGTGCATGATCAGCATTTCACCAGCGAGTCTGTCCATGGACACTGAAGTATGGTTACCTTTACAGTTCACTGAAGCTGGCAGAGTTCCCTATTTCATGTGATGGCTGTGCACTAGCAGGAGCTGTGTATTTCACCCTCCTACTCTGCCCTTCTTTTGCAGTGTTTCTTTGGAGTGGAAGCAGTTCCTTTTCCCGTTTCATGTGTGTTTTTTCTTCTGAGACTTTTCCTTCAACTCTCCAGCCTTGGAGAAAGGATACCTCCCAGAAAGGGTCTCACTGGAAGTGGCTTTGCATATTTGAGAAGCTGATGGAAGAACAGTGCCTTTCATTCTGCAGCTAGTCACTTTGAATCAAAGAGTGCAATACCAGTTTAGTGCTGGCTCTGTAGCGTGAGCAGCAGTCCTTGTGCAGCCTCAGCTGCGTAGCCCCCTCCTGAAATGCCTGTGAAGTTTTGGGAGACAGACACATTCCAGCAGTTCTCAGCCTTCAGGATGTCTGTTGGGTCACTGTGTTCCTCTCTCTGTTGAATATGAGCAAGAGCTTAATTCAGAGTTGTGGTACCTAAGACCTTGTTTCTTTTTCTCTTTCAGATCACCAGAAACTGGAACGTGAAGCTCGAATTTGCCGACTTCTAAAGCATCCAAATATTGGTAAATTCCCTGGGCTCAGAGGGGTAGTGCTGAGACAAGAGCAGCAGTGCAGCTGCTGTAAGAGAACAGATGTATTCTGAATGTTCACACAGCTCGTCAAAGTTGCCTGTTGAGATCACCTCAATAGTTTATCTCTCTGACAAATTCTGTATCCAGCCCTGTCCCATGCCTTAGCATCCTGCCCCAGACATTCACCAAAGTGTGCTGTGTTCCTGCCAGCTCATCCCTGCAGAGCTGTCCTTGCTCTTTGGGTGAGGCATGACTCTTGTCTGCTCATCTGACATTCTGCAATGGAAGTCAGGTGTTGCGTTTGTTTTCCTCACATCCATCCTCTGTTCTCCTTGGCCCTTACTGACATGTCAGTTTAAATCTAGTATTCAGAGAAAAGCCCAAAATTAAAGGGGGGTGGGCTAATACTTCAGCTCCTCTCGTTGCAGTGGCAACTTACTCTGAAAGCAAGGGACTGAGACTCAGTTGCCTATATTGAAGGGGGGGAAAGAAAAGAGTACTGGAGCAAAGGGAATAGTTTGTCTAAAAATACAGAGGAAGGCAAAATAAGGCACAATATAAAAAAAACCTTCCTTATTTACTGAAATGTAGAGAGGACATGTTTTTTTCTAGTTCCAAAGTACCATGGAAGCTTGGCCCATTAATAACCCCCTTTTTAGCTTTTTAAAATAAATATATCCTCTAGGATCCTAGCTACAATCTGATTTGAGCTAATTTATTTAAGAAAACATTAAGAAATACCAAACTGCCACTTTTAACCAAACCACAGTTAAATGTCCATTCCTGGGAAGACTATGATATATTACTTTGTATTACTTTTGCATAACTCAGGCAGTGGAGATAATACTTTAAGGGCATCTCTCTGGTCTTCTGACTTTCAGCTTTGTAATCATTTGCTCCTGTCCTCTGAGGGCATGGGAGAAGAAAGGTGCCTTAGAGCATACCCCATGGACTGGCATGTGTACACCACCCCTTGTGTGATGAACAAGCAGTTTCCACAAGCTCAGGACCTGACTTAATGCGAAGTTCCTTAGCAGCAGCTTTTAATCAGAAAGAGCTTTCTTGCATCTGAGTGTAGTTGTGATATAGGTATGTCTTGAGAGGCCCAGGGGCCACCTTCTGCAATAATTTGCAGTGATGAATATATCAGCAGTAAATTTATTGCTCGGCAGTATTCAAACTGACTAAAACTCTAGTTATTGCACTTCATTTGCCCTGTTAGACTTACTATACTTAGTTTAGTAGGTGATGTCACTTTATATTTTGACCTTAACTTCACTTCCATAACCTCTCCTTTTTATACTTTCTTACATTTTTTCTTTCCAAACCTCTCACAGAGTAAATCTTATACACAGAAGGAAAACTACTCTTATAAGTAAACAGCATGGTTAAGAAATATTTCACATTCCTAGGTCAGTTCTACAGTTGTAATGAGTGGCAGTGCTAGTCTCCTGTTCTGTTGTGGTTTGGAAAAGACAACACTTTGGGGGAATGTCAGTGGTCCCTTGCATTTTCTATAGAGAATTTCGTGTCTTCCTAGGAAGAACAGTTTTTCTTTTAAGAAAAAGAACAAGTCGTTGTAAACTCAATGAATGCTTACAAATAAAAATAAAGGGATTCATTTTTATGCCTGCAACACAGAATCAAAGTGCATTGAATAAGACCTCAAGAAGTCATATGGTTCATTTAGCAGTCCTGTGAAAATCTTTTATACCTGGCTGGTTCCAGGCATGTTTGTACTTAAAAAACTTCAATCCTTTCACAGCCCCTGGCGGCACTCTTTCAAATGTTTCATTTTTCTGTCAGTTTAACATTAAAAACATAATTTGCCTTTCTTTTAGCTTGTTGTTTCTAGTTCTATCTGGAGTATCTGGGGAAAGTAGTTTCTTCTAACAGTCTTTTGCATATTTGAAGACTGTTATCATGTCTCTTTTTAGTCTTTTTCTTCAGACTAAACAAACCCAGTTCTTTCAATCTTTTCTCATATGTCATGTTTTCTAGATCTCCAGTCTTTTTTTTTTTTTTTTTTTTTTTTTTTTTTTCCTTTTTTTTTTTTTTTTTTTTTCTCCTTTCCTCTCTCCTCCTTCTCTGGACTCTCTCCAGTTGCTTCATATCTTTCTAGAAATGTGATGCCCAAAACTGGACATGACTGAGGTCATGTCAGTGCTGGCCAGAGGGGAAAGAATTGCTTCACCTGTCCCACCAAAGATGTTTGTTTTGTATACCAACCTTTGAAGCTTTTCATTTAAATATATTCTTGATGTACATTTGTTTTTTGACACATTATTGGTCCACACTACTTTCTGCACAACTTCTGGCAAGCAAACTTTTTTTTTTTTCTTGTATAAAAGAGGATCCTGGTTGAACTGACTGTATATTACCTTTGTCTTTATTAAAAAATGACAAAAAAGAAGAAATCCAGTTTGGAGGTTTGCCTCTCCACATTTGTCAAAACCATTTTGATTTATCTTCTGATAGTGTAAAAGGGTTGCAGCTCCCACAATAACGTGCTCTTTGATAACTATGCCATATATTGAATCATGTAGCTAGTTAATAACACTGTTGAATACTGTTGGACTCCAGTCAAACTCTTGAAGATATCACTTTATAGATTGTTCCAGTTTGACAATGATCAATTGTGAGTATTTTTTCAATGAGTTGTATCCACTATTGTCAGCTAGTTTTGAATACACATTTTTTCTTAATTGCTTGTGGGAAGAGCATGTGAGACACTGTCAGAAGCCTTGCTGAAGTCCAGATGCTACATGCATTGCTGCTTCCATGTTCCTTGGACTTTTATTTTGTCATAGAAAGGAAACATGTTCTGATATAGTAGGGTTTGTTCCTCAAAATGTGTATTAGCAGTTAGTAATCACCAAGTTACTGGCATTCCATGTTGTAAACTCATCTTCATGAGTGCTTGGTGTCTTGCCTCAGTGTGAGCTATGTGAATAACATTCCACAAACCATAAGGAATTCTGCAGCTTTTGCACTTGCTTTCAAGTTCAATTTTTGTTGTTACTGTTTTTGTTGCAAACTGTGTTGTAGTAAATAGACAGGGATGTGACCTGTAGTGAGTCTGGGGCAGAAGACTGTAAGTTAGAACTCTGAGGCAGGCTGGTTTTCCCTCTTGCCTGTACACAGGATATGAAGCAAGCCTGTTGTTGAATTTGTGGTCTTATTCATTTACTGCAGGACAGTTGATTCTGAATTGCAATACACTGACCATAACACTGCTACTCTGATAAAGTAAAAGATTCCTCTAGATACAAAGTAGAAGTGGTATTTCCATTTGCTGTTGCTATTTTTTGGAAATGACTGCTTTCTGAGTTATCCTAAAATGCCTTCATCAAATATCAGCTGTAATTACAGGCTTTGGCTCTGTAGCTGGGTGTTTGGCTTGTCTTTAGATGCACATTATGGCCAAGGTAATCACAGTGGAGTAATCCCTCTAAAAGCTTGGTGTTGCAATAAGGGGTTTTTTGTCTGGACTAAAGAAAGTTTACTTGAGGCACTTTTCTTCTGATTTCTGACTTATGGTATGCATGATATGGAATGTGTCATTATAGCTGGTCAGACTTCATTAGAGTAAGGACTTCTTTCCCTAAATTTCAGTTTGTTCTTTCTCCTTCTGACAACTCCTAGAGAACTTTGCATTCTGGCTCAGAGAGACATTTGCCAGCCATGGTCATCAAATTCAAAAGAATTGGACAGAGATCAGACAGTGATGTGTTCTTTTCAAAAAAGGCATCCATTACTGAGGATATGGGTGTGTAGAAGAGGCAGAAGAATCATTAAAACCCCACTGTCCATAAAGAGATAAAGTGCCTGTGGAAGTTGGCAAGAGTTATTGCTCTGTGGGAAATTCCACTTCTAGAACAACTTAGTGTTCCAGTGATTCACTTACATATAGATCTTGTGACATTAGACATGGATGTATTTGTGAATGTGTAGAAGCTGATGATACAGCTGCTTCCCCCTTAATCCCTGTTTTGCTGGAAAGAGGCAGATTTCTGTAAGAGCACTCATAGCCCTGACGCTTCATTTGCAGATACTTTGCTGGTTGTGCCACTGAAAATTGTGCAATTGCTAAGGTCACAACTAAAATTACAATGTCTTGAATATCAACTCCTGCTTACAGGAACAGCTCTTTTGGTCTTCTGCTCAGCTGAAAGCTTTAATCAGTCTGAAAATCTGAATTTGATTTTTAAGTCCTGTAGTTTATCCACTACATACACTGTCTTGTGAAACATTCATTTTTTCCCCATGCTTCCTGCTAGCAATCAAATGTTTAAAGCAGTAACAGAGCTGGGAACCTTAGAATCTTCCTGCGGGTTTGTTCAGTGCAAATACGAATTTCAGAAACATGTTAAACATGACCTTTCCTGTCTTATTTCCCAAAGCAATAATGATGCAAAATTCAATGAAAATAATAATTCATCATTTTGAAAAGTCTTTTCTAGCATTCTCCTACAAAGATAGGGTTGTGACTTGTTCAGTCTGTTCTGTGTGTGGATTTTGTCCACTGTGTGAAGGTGCTGCCCTTCTCCTAAATCTTCTTTGTTATGGCAGTCTAAATATGGGCCTCTTCTCTGGATTTGTCACCACTTGATCTGTATTCCTTCTTAGGTATTTTAAATCTAGCTGTTCAAAAGAAGGTCTTGAATATCTTTTGTTCATAGTTGGAACTGAGCACTTTTGGTTGGTCATTGTGCCCCAGCTCATGGCAGCCCATTCTGTGAAGAACTGCATGCACTTAGGTCTAGAATAATAAAAACACATATTTTAAGAGAGGTTGGTAGTAGCCCAAGAGCCAGAGCCAAATTATTTTTCTGATTTCTGCTTTTGTATCCTCTGCTGAAAGCTTCAGAGTTAATTTCTTTGAGGGAATTTATAGCAGTGGTGAAATGCTGTCCTCAGCATCTATCAGAATTATTGCCTTTTCAGGTTTTTCCTGCTTCAGACTTCTCCAAAATATGCTTGCACCTGAA